AGAGCCACATACACATCCCTGCGGTCTATTCTTCAGAAATTGGTTCTGCAGATGACCTTTAAGGGATGTTCTCAGGCAGCCCTGAGGTTTTAGAAATAATCCCCTCACATGGAAGACAGTGACCATGTTGACTTCAAACTAACCCTCAATCCCTTCTTCTTTGTGCTGGGTGGCAATGAACCCAGCTAAAAAATAATTCACCTATGGCTGGCACTAGAACATTAAGTATAGCCAATAAAGACTATGAGGATTTCTGGGAAGTGTTGGATTTCTCAGTATAGCTACCCTTCCTCTCTGCTTGCTCTTTCTATCCCCAATGCAAACAAAGATGAAGTGATGCCTGTCATATTAAAACCAGTCCTGTCCTAAGTACTAACTGGTGCTTGTACATAAAAATAGATAAGTTCTAAGTTCTTGAAATTTTTGCTAAATATTAGTAAAGACTTGAAGCTTCCTACTAATTTCTACAGTAAATGGACTAGTTAACAATCTCACCAATCTAATAGCAGATAGAGGTTCACCTTTTTTTCTGCATCCTCAGGCTGTTGTTGCTTGTTTTATTGATTTTGAATATTTATGAGTCAGCTAGTGAGAAGAAATCTCAAAGCAGGTTTAAGCTGCATTTCGTTTCCTGATGGCTAAAGGTGTTGACCATTTTTAAATCCACATGACTGGCTATTTACACTTGTTCTTTAAGAATATTCTGTTGAAGACCAAGCAGCCTATTGGCTACATGCGTGCAGGGGCCTAGGTCCAGATCACGCATGCTCCTTAGTTGATGTCTCAGTCTCTGAAAGCCCCCATGGGACTGGGTTAGTTGTTCCTGTTGTCCTTCTTGTGAGGTTCCTGTCCTCTGTGGTCTTTCCCACCAAACTTCTACAGGACTTCTGGGGCTTGGCAGTAAGTCCCAGCATCTATCTTGATCTGTGGCTGGTTGGAGCCTTCCAGACTATAGTCAATTTAGGCTCCTGTCTGCCAACATAGCACAATATCATCGCTAGTGTCAGGGGATGGCTTTCTACTGTGGGTTGTGTCTCAGGTTGGGCCAATTATTGTTTGGACTTTCTCTCAGTCTTTGTTCCCTCATTATCCCTGTACTTCTTGTAGGCAGGGTAATTTTTTGGATCACAGGTTTTGATGAAGCAACCCACTGGGGTTGCTTGGTCTTCATACGGATTGCCTGACTAGTAGAGGAGTATGGGGCACTGTTTCCAATACGGACTCTATTGCCTGCTTTTGAATCACCTCCCCTGGTAGGGCTGCCTTGTTCATCCTCAGGAGATGAGAATATGCTTAGTCCTGGTGTGACTTGATGTGCTGGGGAGGGTTGATATGGGGAGACGAGGCTCTATTTTTCTGGCAGGGGAAGAGAGAGGGGAAGAAAGAAAGGAGAAAGTGTAGACTGGGATAAGAGGAGGGAGGGAGCACCCTTGGGATGTGAAATAAATTTAAAAAGAAAAGAAAAATTAAAATTAAAAAAGATATTCTGTGGAATTAATTGGCCACATGTTGATTGAACTATTTGTTGTTTTGGTAGGGTTTTTGTTGTTGTCATTGTTATGTGTTTTAAATATTAGTCCTGTTCCAGTTAAATGCCCAGCAGAGATTTTGTAGCATTGAGTAGACAGTCTCTTTCTCTGGAAGATGTTTCACTTTATATACGTTTGAAACACAGGGCCCCACATATACCAAATGAGTGTCTTTACATAGAGTCAACATTTCAGCCATATTAATGGCTCAACAAACCTAACTGCTCACTTGCCTCCCCAGTCACGCTTTTCTTCCACAACAAACATTTATATTCCAAATGGGATGATTTCTAAATAGTACTAGTCAATATTTCTACCCCATCACATCTAGTAATGTTAAGTTTAATACACACACACACACACACACACACACACTTCAACTGTCCTGTGGAAAGTGTCTTCATTTCATTTCTTCAACTCAGAATGCCTGGTATTATAAACTCTTCAAGCTCCTTTCTTATCTGACACAAACTGTCTTGTGAGAAAACTCTCATCATCTTGACTCAATTGGCACCCAAAGTGCGTAGTCCTGACGCTCTCATGGTCTGCCCTCTGAGCAGTTTCCTTTCCTCTTCTAAGATGGCTGAGCTCCTCAGAGCATGGTTGAGGACTATTTCCAAGATTCTGAGATCCAATAGCTTTTTTTTTCTAATTTTATTTTATTCTTCTAATAGCTCTTATCATGGCACACAGCTACCTTAAGCTTTAATTGCATTTGATATCATTGTATGATGAGTTTCAGGTTCATAAGCCACCAGCACACATTCTACCTGCTTCATTACTACTTCATGTTCATTGACCAGTAACACAGCATGGCTTCCTGTGGCAGAAGGTAGGAAAGGTTAGGAGCAAAAGGAAGCAGGGGCCTGGGATAGTAGGAAGGCACTCAGTTAAAGATGGTCAGGAACGTAGAATTACCTCAGAGAAAAATATTCACATGGAATATTTCCCTCTGAGGGAAACACTAGAGGTTGTTTGGGCATGTAATGAAGCAGGGCACCATGGAGGGACCAGAGAGTAGAATGAAACTGCTTCCTCATGGCCAAAGCAGAGAGTAAGGAACAGGGCCTCACAACCCCATCCTCTGTGGCACAGGGAGATTCCATAAGGCTGTTCATTTAAAAGGACCTTCCATCTTCCACCAGTACCATCTTGGATGCCAGGCCTGTAACACTCATGCCTTTGAGGGCATTTAATATCATTTTGTAATCAAGTTTGATCCAGGCGATATCTAGGATGTACGAGACACTAATAATTTCTTCATCAATTATCTACCACTCAAATTTAGCAAACTTTCCCATATTTTTGTTTTCTAAATCTATAGCCACAGATATGGGTGCTATCCTGACATGATGGACAAGAGGCACATCCCAGTGACTGAGATGCCTGTGACATGGGTCCACCTTGAGGGGTTCCCAAAAGGCAGGAGCAAGAAGTATGACAATATTGGCGGATATACACGAAGGGAAAGGATGCTATTAATTTCAGGAGTTATACTTCATGGGGGTACTCGGCGAATGAAATAAAATATCAGTCATTTTATAAACAAATATCATCACATAAAATATTATACAGGAATGTTTTATTGCATGACTCTTTAATACACTAACTCTCAGCCTTACTAATGCTCTGACCCTTTAAAGTAGTTCCTCATGTTATGGTGTCCCCCAAAACATAAAATTATTTTTGCTGCTACTTCATAACTATAATTTTGCTACTGTTATGAATTCTAATGCAAATATCTGTGTTTTCTAGTCGTCATAGGCAATCCCTGTGAAAGAATCATTCCACACCTAAAGGGATTGTGACCAACGGGTTGAGAATCATGGCTCTTAAACATCAAATTAGGGCCTTTGTAAATTCTGAATCTATAATAGTCTTGCTTATACAAATAATTCCTCATTTTATATGAAATAATGATAGCAGAATTTTGTTGTATAAAATGTGGTTTTTACAAAAACAAAAAACAAAACTGCATGCCTTTGGAAAATAATTGTGTTCTAGGATTTTCTATCAAGATAAGCATTTGTATGTGCTTTCCTCGTATATTCAGTTCTCTTGACTTTATTTGAAGTGTAAAGTTTATTTTCTTGCAAATATTCTTCTGAGATGTTTGGCCTGGCAGATATCTTCCATTGGGACTTGTTCACTTGACCAGGAAAAGCCTTAAGAATTAAAGAATGTAAGCACTTCCCAGGCAATTGGCAGGGAAGAAGGGAATGTTTCCAGCACAGGTGACATGCAGAGCAGGGCAGTGAGAGGTATGGTAGAAGGAGGCTCGCTCTTGCAGAATATATGTGATGTTCCCTTCATTCCACAGATTATCAAATTGCCCAAACACAGATGCAACACAGTCAAATCTGAGGCCCCCCTGCACTGTACACTCTTTCAGTAGTACCCACGACAGACGGACAGCAGATGATACAAGTTTCCCTCATTTCTAACAGTTACCTAAGACCTCAGAACCTTTGTTCAACACGGGGGCTTGGCCTAATACTTATGATTAGATTCTTACCAGCGCAGCAGGAGTCGCATTAAGTTAATTTGGGGAACTAAAGAAAGTAAAGTTTCCTGCACACCTGAGTCCTGAGATTTAAACCCACACCACATACCTGCCTCATTTGAATTCCTCGTTTTCCAATTACAAGGAAACCTTTTAATTTTTCTCTCATAATTATGCCTAAGGTATCATGATGTGGAATACCAATTTCATAAATTGTTCCTAAGATATATCCGCTTCTAGAAAAATTACCAACTTGTTTGGTTTTTATTCAAGTAGAGCAGACTAATTGTGTTGCCTCTAAGATTTGAAATAATTGAATCTCAGTTTCTGTCTTTTGATCCAAGCCCTAGAAAGAGGTCTTCCATATAATAATATTTTCTTGGTGGTGCTCTGCAGTCAAACAAGGCTATAATCCAAAGGCCCTCTGTTTTCACAGAGACAGTGTTTTGTGATGAAACCACAGAAAGAAGTTGTAATTAATGCAAGAAATGATGTGAACAATCTATTACCATAATCTGAATGAAATCCTTGCACTGTTAAATGCAGACACTAAGTGCTCACATAATACTTTATTAATTAACAAAGTATTTATCCACAGGGAAATGCGGATAAGAGACTATACACTTTGTCAGACTACAGGAAAATGTCTTAGCACTTCATAAGAAATGCATACAATTCAAACAATGGCATGATTATCTTTTTAAAGTAATTACATTTAATCTCAGAAGAAAGAATAAATACATTAATTCTTCCATGTTCTGTGATAAGCCACCAAGATACATAAGTGATCATTTTCTTTTCTTACCGTTCTGGAGGCTGGTGGCAATCCAGTGCATGTGGCTGAGACAACTTACAACCTGAAATATCACTTAGCATACAAAAATACATTATGAGATTAGTTGGCTTTTGCCTGCATAGAATTCTTTTTCCTGAAGCTGTGGTTTAGACTTTGTGTGCATTCCTTTCAGCTTTGGAGACTTGGATGGTGAGAAGGTGGATTCCTATAAGAAATGTGCTTGTGCTGAATTCAATTATCCTACTGTGCTGGGTGGAGCCAGCAGTCGTCACCGAGGATGCTTTTCTCCTTAGCACTCTAAAGGGAATGAAGTCAAAACAGTTAGCCCCACAGTTACTTTGCCTTCACCCCAGCCAAACGCTTCGTGGCCTGTCAGAATTGGAAGCTGATAATCAGCTTGTGGGCGCTAGTTCACTGACACTAGTGGACTCTACAGATCCACGGGCCTCACATCCCCCAATGAGTGCAAGTGATTTTCAGCCAATAAAGCTTTTATTGGTCACCTTCTCAACAGAGGATAGTTTTCAGAGGTACAGTTCACTAGCAGCCCTTATCTATCCACACTAAAAGGTGTGTCTTATGGCTGCCCTGCAGATGTGGTCGCTTTGTTTGCTGGGCCTTTAAAAAGAGCATTGCCAGTTTACCCCATCCTCAAGACCCAGGGTGCTACGGATCAGTAGATGTCACACATATCTAGGGGTGGCTCAGCCTGTATAAAGCGAAAGGGCTACATAGATCCTTAATAAGTGGGTAGTTGACAGAATACGGAGTGCAATGATGGGGCCGGGTCTTCAATGTAACATCAAGAACCCACAACCTGCAAGGATCTATTTGTCTATAGAATGACCTCACTCACTACTTCCTGTTGTCTCTGAGGGATTGGAGCTTATAATACTTAAGATAAAGTTTTTGGAAAGTACAGAGGGTGAAACTAGTCAGCTGTTCCATCTATTTACCCACAGGAATGAAATATTGTAGCAGTCGGCTCTCTGCTGTTCCTTCTCCCACTCCACAATGTACCACAGAGGCTGTCACTGCTGTGCTCAGGTATGTCTAGCAAGAACTGACTCCTTTCAGAAGAGGACCTTTTGCCTATTGGGATGTTTACTGGAAAAAAAAAAACTGTGGGTATGATGAAAGTACATATGTGTATGTCAGAAGATGCCATAATAAACCTAGTACGTTGTGCAACCAATAAATAAAAAAACTGCATAAAAGACACATGTGTCTGTCAAGATGCCTTCTCAATAACTATGCTCATACCCATAGATTATTGATTTGATTAGATAATCTTTCCCCTGCAGTGAAAAGTGGTAGCTTTGGAGCTGGTCAAAGTGTGAGAATAAGTGACACCTGAGTGCTCAGCCATAAGTGGGACATGTAGACAGCCCTGCACACCACCAAAGCTCAGAGAATGACAGAAAAGAGGAGGCAGTAAGAATGAAAGAGCAGAACGAAAGTGAGGAGTGGCGTGGAATGCTGACTTCCAGGCATGATGTGGTCATTGTATCTGAACTCCAGGCATCTATGATTATCAGCATGAGATTTGCATAAGACCTGGTTTGTGGACAGGACATGCTGCTGAAATGAGGTCAGGAGCTCCTGAGCCGCCATGCCTCCCTAAGGATTTATATGAACCTAATTGTAGCTGGAGTGTGTGAGCAGATTTTCTTCAGTGGTGAGGTCCTTGATAATACACTTATGCTCCTGTAAATTCATACCCAGGTGCTCTTTCAAGTAATGCTCATGCAACTCATTTGGGTTACAAACACACAGGTAGGACCAGAAGGGAAGGGGAAAGGGACCACCAAAAAGTGGAAGGGAACTAAGTGTAATGGGGGTGTTTGTAAGTGTATGGACAGGACAAAAATAGATTATACAAGGCCATGAACATGTTAAAGCCCATTGGATATAACTAATATCTACTACTTCAAAATAACAGACAAAAAAAAGGACATTTGTTCCATTTTGGTTACCTCTGTGTTTACCTCCTGTCAGTGACAACTGAACCTCTTTTGAAAACTATTTGCTGTTAAAACTTCACAGTTTGGAGAAAAATATAAAAACGCAAACAGCACAATAACATGTATTTCATGGAACTAGCTTTTTATAGATATCATTGAAGACACAGTAGTTTAACATTTTCTATCTCTCTTTTTAAGCTTTGTTTTTTTTTCTCCTGAAAAGGGGTCTTGCTATGAAGCTCTAGCTGGCTAAAAACTTGCGATTTGGTCTCAGCCCCCTGCTTACCTGGGTGGCGGACATGTCCCACCAGGCCCATGAAGCCACTGAGTCTCTGCAGGATTTCCATCCATCTGTTTCGTGTTAGGTCCAAAATCTCTACTCTGAGACCTTCTGGAAAGGGCAATGAGGAAGACCTTGACCTTTCTTCCTCATTCCAGCAGACAGCACAGCCAGGAAAGTGCAGCAGGATAGTGACCCAGGCCTGCACTCAGAGACAAGCCCCACCTGCAGTTTTCCTCAACTCTCTCAGAATTCCATCTGCCTATTGAAGTATAAAGTGCAAGTCAGTTTCACGCTCAGCCTCTGATGACCAGCCTTGGCTAATAAGAAGCCCTGAGCTGACCTTCTGTGCATTTTACCTCCATTTTCTCTAGCCGTTTTCACACTGCTTATTTTCAGTGTTCCTTTAATTACTGGGCGTTGCTTTGAATGGGAAATGTCTCCCGTAGGTTCACATGTTGGAACACATTATTAGTCCCCGGTGGATGTTGCTAGTACAGGTTATAGAACCTCTTTATGAGGTGGTGCTTTGCTGGAGGAAGTGGGTCACTTAGGGTAGGACATGAGACTTCATAGCTCACTCGTCTGTCCATCTCTGCTTCGGACTGTGGATGAAATGTGACTATTTGCTTCTGCCACACCATTCCCACCATGCTGGACTGGATTCCTGGAATATAAACCAGGATAAGCCCTCATTTAAGTTGCTTCTTCTTTGGTGTTTGGACACAGGAAAAATAAAAATAACTGATATGCTGGGCTTTGTGGATTTCCAGATCTCACTGATTGTAAACCCTCTCACAGACTCAGTATGAAGTTAGGAGGAAAACATATCATTTTAATAAAATCATTACTAAGCAGTCATAATGTTATGTCGATTTTATACATTTATCCACATAAAAGTTATAAAGTACTTACTAGGCAACGAACACAATTCTAAGTACTTTTTATGAATTCCTTTGGTCTCCCTAATGACCTTATTCTATAGACATTGCCATTGTCCTAATTTACTGCCTGGGAAACTGATGAAGAATGAAATAAGCAACTTGCCCACATCTCATACGTAGTGGATGGTAGTGGCAGTATTCATTCTCGGGAGGTCTTCCCTCTTCTACTTCAGTACAATGAAGATCATAAGACCATGATGAGAAGAAACCCACTGCCAGAAATTAGCTGTTTACCCAGAAGAAGCTTGCCCAGGTGCATTTGCACTGTGTGTGTGTGTGTGTGTATACATGAAGGCTGATATTGAGTGTCGTCATATGTACATTTTTTTATATCAGATTTCCCCACAAGCCTAAAGCTCACTGATTTGCATAGACTGTCTCAAGGGTTTTCCTATGTAGAACTTCTCAAAGCTGCCACGCCTTTCTATTTACATGGGTGCTGGAGATCTGAACTAGGGTTCTCACGCTTTCATGGCAAACATTTTATTTGCCAGTTGAGCCACCTCTTAGCTCCCAAATACATTTTGTTGCTGAAGGTTCTCCTTGAAGGGAGATAAGTTCTAACTCAAGACACCCAGAAGTATGCAGGATGTGTACAAGTTAAACAAAAACATCAAAAGGAGGTCCTCTTTATAGCATGGCAGCAGATGTGTCCCTCAGAGGTCCAGTGTCACCGTCAAGATCAGGCTGTGGTAAGCACTAGAACGAAGGCTGCCTTCAGAACATATCACCAGGCCATCACTGTATTCTGCTGCTCACTGTGGAATCCTCTGAACAGGACTCTTGGATCACGTGGTGCTGTGCCTTACTTCTGTGTTGTAGGAGAACCTGTGTGATAGAGGAAGCTTTAGTTTTAATTATTTGAAACACTGTCTTCGGTGTTGTGACATAGGGGAAGCGCGGAATATGCAATGAGGATTGAAGAAGTCGGAGACAATATTCATGAACCATTCTCAGATTCTAGACAATAGTAAGGTTTGAGAACCGGCAAGAGAACTGCCACTGCCTCGCTGCCCCAGTAATCACTAACCTCTCAGATGAGGCTCCGCTTTTCAATGTTTTCACTGAATTAATTTTTTCAGTTTAGACTGGAAAAATCAACATTAAAAAAAAACAGTATAATGTCTAAAATCTAGGTGAGATCTCTTCAGCTCTGAGTACAGCTTCTACTGAAAAGCGTCATCTACCTTAGCTGGTCCTCGAATGAATTTGTAAATTCCACTTTGGACACTCAAAGTAAGATTCAGAGCCTGTGTTGGTCTTTTGATCTAGGAAATAGTTGATGTATGACTTGTGAGCAACGAGCATTTACATGTTCAGAACCTATTACAAGCCACTTGAAGCCAGTTACAGTAAACATTATTAGTAAGCTTCATCTATTACTATAGAAAAAGCCACACAGTATATTTTCCTGAGTAATTGACAAGCTTCCTAGGTAACAAGATTTATGGAGGTTTGATTTTCCTTGTTGTTATAGAAAATGCATTTCTTGAAAAAGTGGGGAAGAGCCTAGAACTCCTTGACAGAGGAGAGAACTTCCTGAACAGAACACCAACAGCACAGGCTCTAAGATCAACAATCAATAAATGGGACCTCATGAAACTGAAAAGCTTCTGTAAAGCAAAGCACACTGTTGTCAGAACAAAATTACAGGCAATAGACTTGGAAAGGATAGTCATCAACCCTTTATCTGATAGAGGGCTAATATCCAGAATATATAAAGAACTCAAAGAGTTAAAAAGAAAAAAATTAAGTAACCCAATTAAAAAATGGGGTACAGAACTAAACAGAAAATTCTCAATATCGAATGACAGAGAAAAGCTTAAAGAAATGCTCAACATCCCTAGTAATCAAGGAAATGCAAATCAAAACAACTCTGAGATTTCACCTTACACCCATTAGAATGGCTATGATCAAAATCTCAAGTGAAAGCACATGCTGGAGAGGATATGGAGAAAGATGTACTGTCCTCCATTGCTGGTGGGAATGTAAACTTGTACAACCATTTTGGAAATTAATCTGGTGCTTTCTCAGAAAATTAGGAATAGCGCTTCTTCTAGATCCAGTGATACCACTCCTAGGTATGTATCCAAAATATGCTCAAG